CTTCTTTCTTTCTTCCTTGGCGAATTCTGTTCTGCTCTCTCTTCTCCCTTGCAACCGACTAAAGAAGCCCAACCACCATCGCCTACTCCTCTTGAAAAATTGGTAAGATCTTGGTAAAATTCCCTTCCTTTTCTTGTTAAATAACAAGATTTAGAGCTTAAAACTCTCCCTAAACCAGAAATTTCTCAAATCTGCTCTGTTCTCCTTGCCCCTGTACGCGAGTTGCTCTTGTCGGTGAGAGTGCTTTCGGTTTTCTGGTAAGGGAACAACCATGAAATCATCTCTTAAGCCTTGATTTATGTTGGGTTCACTCTAATTGTTCTTATTCCTTTCAATTTCATGCTAGTTCCTCTCCAAGATCCCGCCAGCCTTCCCAACGCCAGCTCCAATTTCTTTACTTCCTAAATTTTCTGGTATGTGGCAACTCTTTTAAGTCCAAATTTCATCTAATTGGTGGTTGCCTTGCTGAATTTGGTCCTTGTGTGGCTGCCCTGTGTTGTCCGAATGCTGCAAGTAATTGGCTGTATCCGTTTTTCGTGATTACACTTGTTGGCATGCTATAAATTTAATAAGGGGCACTCCATATTTTACTTACTGAGTTTATCTCATAGTTTTCCTTGTCCACCATTTCAGGTAGTGAGATCCGACTCACGGGGAGCTCGTGAGAGTGACGAGCTAGGCAGCTAGGCATTATTTTGAACTTAGATTTTGTAGCTAGGCCGCTAGTCACCCATGCTTGACATAGAAATTTTGTGTATAGAGCTTCCTTAGTTTTAGTCATGATCGTATATATGAAGTTATAAATTTTGTACATCTTGACTGGTAAATATTTGGTAAATAAAAAGGTTTGGATTTGAATTGTCTGAATTGCTAAGTAAAAACTTAATAGGTTCTGAGCTTTGTGCATTTGTGGGCCCTGTTCACGAGTGCATGGCGTTTGTCTCGTTTCGGGGTTTGGGGCGTGACAGACGCATTGAAACACCATCCAATCAAGGAGGGGAGGGGGACTACCAAATTCAACCCAACCCTTCAAGAAATTACTCTAATTAAATCTAAAAGGATGTGATTCGAGTAAAAACTGATGATGATAGTTAAAAAACCATAGTTTCCTACCATTTTGAAGATAAAAAGGATTGTGTCATCTCCATACAGTAAGGACAAGATAACCAGCCATGAGTGCTCCAATCAGACACTATACCATAACCTAGAAAATTAGTTATGGTTCACATCAACATAGCCCACATGATGAAGTTTTATTTATAATAACTATCATATGTTTCTACACCATTCGACCATAACATTTTCAAGTCTTCAATTGAAGGTCGAAAGAAAACATCAATATTTCTACCTAGGCTTTTTGGACTTGCAATGACCAATATAAGAAAAGTAAACTCTAGTCGCATGCACATCTCTGGCAGCAAATTATAAACAATCAAAAAACAAGGCCTTCAAGAGTAGGAGGTTGAAGAATGAGCCCATAGATTAAAACCATCAGTAGCAAGACCTAATTGAACATTACGAAGTTCTTTTTTAAAAGAATGATGCATTTGATTAAAATGTCTCCATGCTTCTGATTAAGCTGGATGAATGACCTCATCTATATCACCACAACATTGCAAATGTCATGTCACGTGGTTAGCTATTTTTCGAGACATGTATAGCCGATGAAGGCGAGGTATTATTGGCAAGTACCAAAGAAAATTCCTAGGAATGTTCTTTTGTCTTTCCCTCCCTAGATTTCTCTATTTATTCCTTGCTTCTCCACAAATTGGACATGTTGTCAATGTTTTTTTATGCTTCTCATAGTATAAAAAGCAATTGTTAAGTTAACACAAGCATCAATTTTTAAATAACTTAACCCAAGCCCTTTCATATATATATATATATATATATAT